AAAATTACACGAGAGGTGAGATTTTTAATCAAATCTAGGATATGTCCTCGATCAACAGACTCGATACGACCTGTAGAAGAGCTATCACCTGAAGTGTTCCAAAACACAGAGGTTATCAGTTATTTTTCGAAGGAGTATGAGCCAAAGCTTCCATTTGACCCAAGGAAATTCTCCGTTATTTGTCCACTATGTTCAAGGACAAGTATCCAGGCATATTATTAAGTCAAACAGTTATATTCTGTTCATTGTACTTTAATTTCTTTTTTTTACTACCATTTTATTGTCGAAAACGAAGGTTCATCTGAACGACTTTTCAACGTGAATTTGTAATGAAATAAATTTCTTTCGACTTACGGATTAAAATCAAATAAAGATCCTAGCGGGTGAGTTGCAATTTTACCAATTGGAGGAAAGTTGACTGAAAAAGATTCAGCCTTGGATGGGATTCGAACCCATGCCTCCCAGATACTCACTGGGCGCTGCTACTAACTGAGCTAAAAGGCCACACGTTAGGAGTGAGGAAAATTTGCGAGGATTCATCTCTTTCGTGGAGGAAACTTATGCTCTGTACAATGAGATAAATCAAATAGAGCCATGACAGACGCAGGTGAGCTGAAATTTTAGCAATTACCGAATAAGCCGGAAAAAAGATAGGAAAAAAAAAACCTCGTTATTTGACCTTCTAGGATTTGCCTTGCTCAAAATGTGGGAGGAGTAGAGAAGTCTGGAAATAAGTATTTTTTTCCTATGTCGAAAGATGTTTTATCGACACTCTGAGTGTACTATAAACTGTTTGAGGTCACTAATTAGCAAAATTTTTGTTTAGTACGGTACTTCACAATAATTTTTAAATATTGTTTAGACTCATTCCCAGTATAATTTATCCAACCAAAGAGGTAGATTTTGAGTTGAAATTCTTTTTAACGCAAGGAAAATAAAATAATAATAATGATAAAAAAAATACCTATGGGCCAAGGTGGAACTGAAGAAATAATTATTTCTCCGTGACAAGAGTTAAAACTCACTTCTCACAAAATTTATCTGCAAATATCTTTAAGCTGGAAAGTTACCTTGGTATTAAGAGGTCAGGAATAATTTGAAAATGACAGTGTTGAACATAAAGAAACAGTAGGACTCTTTTAACTTTACTATTTTTAAGCGTAGATCTTTACAGCAATAACCAGGCTTGATGGCTTGAAGAATTTATCAAATTCAAGGGGAGATAGTACTGTTAGGATCAATATAATAAAAATACTTTTCAGTAGCAAAAATTCACTGCATAATAGTTAATTACAGCTACAAATCGCACGGTTTTGTGCGTCGCCGGATTTCCTTTTTTGAGTGGTATACACCACTTGCAGTTACTTAGAATTTTTTTGAAAAGTTAGGTATTCGAGATTAAGTGCGCCACACCATTATGCTCTAAATGTACATGCACCAAGCGTCCAAATATCTTCCAAAGTTTGGAAAAAACAATTACGCAGACATTTTCAGCACAGAAAGAGATCAGCCATATAAGGAGGGAAAACAGAATCCCCGCGCTTCTCCTGGGGGAAAAGCCACAACAAATCTGAACTTTCATAACAGGAGTGATAACAGCAATCATGGTGAACATTTAGAATCTCGACACCAATTATTTATTAGAGTAAAATAAACAAAGAGCAAAAATAAAATTAAAAAGAAAAAGAAAAACATAAAAAAAAAGATTTACCGTAGCCTAAACGGTGAGCACTTTAAAATCCCCCAGGTTTTTATCATTTCTAACTCGTAGTCAAATAAATGTTTTAGTCGCCCATCGGATATACCATAAGGACTATTTTATGATACCTAAAGTTCTACATGGTCTCTACTTAATTCAGAACCTCGACAAGAATTATTTACTATAGAAAAATAAACAAAAAGAAAAATTAGAAATAAAAAAAGAAAAATTAAAAAAAAAAAAGGAAAAAGAAAGAGAAGAAAAGATTTTCACACAGCCACAACACCAAATGAACTGAATATCGAAGAGCTGATGTATCGAGGAAAGGAATGGATTCGCATTGCTGCAGCGAGAGTTTAAACATGTGACGCTAGAATTATCATCAAATGAATTCCAAAATTGATTTAAGGTAGCCTAAAGGGTAAGCATTTTAAAAAATCACCTGTCTATTTATAACCTTTTCTAACTCGCACTCAAATAAGCGTTTTAGTTGTCCGTCGGAGACACCATAAGAATTATTTCATGCTCAACCTCAATGATATTTGCTACATTTTTATTATATGGAATTTGGGAGACAACCAGCCAGAAAAGTTACCACCTGGAGTCTACTATAGCAATACTGAATTGGCCGTTTTATTATAAAAAAATCAAAGCATAATTTCATGTGTGATACATATGGAATGTATTCGTCTCTATTTGTGTTCAAACACCACTTGCACATATTTTGTCAATTACCGAATGTGAGTGAAATTATACTCACACCGGTTGTCGTCAGTCTTGAGGCTCATTAATTGCCGGAATAAGGTTAAGGTTTCCGTATTTTTGCTTAAGATGTAAATATTTATTAAATCAATTAATGGAACAGTTTCTCAAAAGACACTTATTTACTAGGGGGCTTTGGAGCAACAAGATTAAGAAGTTGCGGGGTGATTTATTTACTCCATTGGTGAAGCTACAGTCTCTGTAAGTCAGGAAGCTCACTTTTATATCGATCTACTTTAACTTGAAAGGATATTAGCTTTTGCTTTAGATTTTTCCACGCAAGTGACAAAAGGAACGAATTGCACGTCGCGCCCAACTCGCGCTTGCTTCCGTTCGTCTGAAAACCCAAAAAATCACGCCGGTTCTGCAGGCTAAATGCTCACCCAAATATCGCTTTGTTCTTGTTATCGGGATTTGGATTGCATTCAGAACCTAGAGCCTGATGATTTCCGAGGGTTAAGATCAGAGTTCAGATTTCGACAATCGACAAACCAAACCAGCACCTTCAGTAGGATTTGATTTCAAAAGTTGTTGAAATTAACCAACTCTGGTCTACACTTTTTTGGTTATTCCATATTCGAATAGGGCGCGATCGCAAATTTACACGTTTAGCGTGCTTTACGAGCTCCGTGACAAAATAATTAGTTTAAAAAGCATGAAGTTAAAATGCATGCAATTACGAGGCTGCACCGGCGCAACACGCAAACTGCGTGTCACAACGCGCACTTGCAAGTGCGAGTGTGAAATACGTGTAAATTACACGAGATCAGTCAACTACAACTCATTAAATGTGTTTACAGGGACTACTGGATTTACATTTATCCGTAAATATTAAACGAGCATCAACTAGTTACTGGGCTTTGTTGGGTTTCTTATTAATCAAAACCGCGATAGCCAAGACTTGGAAGATCTACTTGAACTGCGTCCGCTTTCCTACAAATGCTTTCTTCCGATTGCCACGAGTTCACTTGAGGTTTCCAATCGAATGATTATGGAATGGATATTTCAATTAAAAACAAACCAAAATTGTGCTGGCCCGCTTACCGGGACGAATTTTCGCCTTAGGTTCAATGAGAAAATTTAACCCGGTTTTCGAGATGAGAAAAGGCCGAAGATCCTCGGGACGAGTTTTGCCGCGAAATCAGAAAAACAAAATAAAGATGGCGAAACGCAACCGAGTTATTACTTTTGTGCCTATCATTGCTTTGGTAACCCTTTAGCTGTATCACTGAAGTTAAAAGGGTTCCTAATGATATGGAAAATTCATCAGGCAAAGCAAACGATGAAATATGCTGATGATACGCTTTTTTACTTTGCTAGTGACGATGTTAACATCATCGAGTCCAATCTGTCATCTGACTTTAATAGTGTTACTTAGTGGCTTAGTGCTAATTACCTAATACTCAACTCTACCAAATCTAAAATAATGCTTGTGGGTACCCATCAAAGGCTTACCTCTAAGTCGTTCTCCATATCATCTAACGGCCGAGACTTAGAGAGATCAGAAAAGTTTAAATATCTAGGGGTTTTTATGGACCCAACACTTTCTTGGAAGTCCCACATTAATTACTTGAGAAAGAAGATCTCGTCTAGATTAGGAATGTTGCGTAGAGCACGAAAGATCTTGCCTCAGTCATCCTGTATCATTTTGTACAAGGCAATGATACTCCCCCTTTTTGACTATTGCTCAGTTGTATGGGATAGTTGTGGAGCAATATCTAAAGGGTATCTTGATAAGCTTAATGGGCGTGCGGTGAGTATTATCTTAAATAGGGTTGTGAGTGAAACAGATATTGTTCGTATTCTTGGTTGGCCTAGCCTTCAGTCTCGTAGAGACTATCTTAAATGCATGCTGGTTTTCAAATCTATGAACGGCTTAGCACCTTCCTACCTATTGAGTGATTTTACTCAAGCTAAGAAATATCATACATATAAAACCAGGCACAGGGATTTGATTCGTCTTCCTTTGGCAAAAAGCACTAAATATCAAGGCAGTTTTAGATATAATGATGGGTGCACTTTTAATAATCTGAACAAAGCAATAAGATTGCTGGAAAAGCCTTAAAACTTTTAAAACTGAGTGTAAGCGGTTTTTTAAACAGATTTAATTAGTTATATAGACTTTGTATGTATTTTCTCTGATGAGTTTTACTTTTGTCTGTCGATTTTACTTATAACTTTGTATTGTCAAAAAATATTGATTAAATAAGGCGAGATCTCGGAAACCGGGCCAGCCCGGTCAACCGGGCTCATATGAAGAGGCCCTAAGTGCGCCAGACCACATTGAATGAGTTGCGCCAGAAATCAAATCCTTTTGTTTGTGCACAGGTTTCTGTGATCGCCATGGGGCAAACATTGCAACTCACTAAAAAGAGAGAGATTCTCGCTTTTTTTCCTATTTTTTAAATCCGACTCTGTTTACTACTCGTCACGTGGAGAAGTGAAAAACGCACCTTCAGCTGTTGTGTTAGCGAAACAGTTTTTAATAAACGCTACGACACTTTATAGGATCTTTAACTGCTTACTAAAAGATTCACCTTTACATTAGAAATCTGTTGTAGATCCTGAGTTGTCGTCCAAAGCGTATAATGGTTCCTAATAGCAAAGTGGACCGTCGGTCAAGTTCAGGAATGCGTGAATCTCCATCTTCTGGTTCCTTGTCTTTGTCTGTACTTGAGTCATACTCTGGACCTCCTCCCCATTCTTGGGGTCACTCTCAGCTGTTTCAACTTCCTCTTCATTCTCGTTTATTACAGAAGAATCTGAACCTTCAAACAAGGCCAAGTCGACTCTGTCTTCAGATATATGAAGCTTTCTCTGGGAAAACATTTCCGGCATCGTTCTATGTCTAGCCATGGTTGTCCCCTGACGGTTTGTTGTTTGCCGAACGGCAGCTCCATACGTTGAAGTGTAATTACGCATTTCTTCCACTGCCTTTTCTGAGAGTTTGCAACTGGGAGCCGTGGAATAGAGGGAAGTGTAGCTAAATGAATTTCATGTTCTGGGTCAGGGTACCAGGAGCTTTTTTCGCCTGTGTAGTAATAAACTTTCGAAGACGAGAGCCGTTTAGTACTCTCTTTTTTTTGTATTTCAAAGGTCTCTGCAGTATTCCTTTTTTGATAGTAGCGGATGTTTGATGTGGCTGGAAGAATGCAGTTGTTCAACGTCAAGGGTCATGTACCTTAGGAAGTTAGTGGCATAAAAAGAAAGCGAGGAAAACAGTGACTTCATATTATATAGTATATATAGGCACAGTATAGCACATCGACCGACCTCACAGTTACGGCAGAAACCGTGCCTTGGGGTCAATTCAGTGTCATCTTAGAGCATCTCGATACAGAGCGAACTGACTTTTCATACTCAGCGAATATTTGTTTGCATTCCTTCTCCTTTTCTGTAGCCTCTGGTAAAGTTCTTGGTGGAGGAGATTGTCCTTTCTTATACACAGAGAAAGCATCGTAAAGCTTGCCAACGTACTTTAAATCTCGCTGTTTCGGAAAGAGGCGTGATTATTTTCAACGAGTTTGATTGAGCGTTGCAAATATATACATCGGAGTCAAACACAAATACCAATTGGTTGCTTGAACTGGCATTCCAAGACGGGAACATCTTGACTTCCTTCAACTTTGGTTCCAGCAAATATCTGAACTCTTCCCTCCTCGTCAATTTTGAAGAGGCTTGCTTCTCCTTGATGTGTTAAAAGGGTTCCTCTCTGAAATGGCGCAAAGGTGCATCGTGCGTTTTGTGATTTGTAAGCGACTTAGCTTTTACAGGAAGCGAGTTCTAATAGTGTTTTGCCTTTATTGTATGAAACAAACGACTTGTTGTTGTTCACACAAAGGCTGACAACAGAATTCCAATCGTCCCCATAGCCAATGATGCGTTGGACATTTATCGCACATAACCCCATACTCGTCATACTTGAGTTGTGCACTATGTATTCTCTTGGAACAAGATAATACATACTACAAGCTCTCGGTCAACTAACGCGATCGCCTGAATGTGCGCTTCGGTAGCCTTGTCCAAGAAGTTCACTTGGTGTTTGTCATGTCCAAGTGATACATATTCTTCCTCTTTCCTCTTGCTGGCCACAGTGCGTAACTATTTCACTGACGCGTGACATGCAGAAAGTCTCGTCTGTGACAAAAAAAATATATAGTCATACCCAGAAACAACTTATTTCTGACGATCGTTCAGATCCACGATCCTAACTTCCTCACGAGCAAAATAAAAAAATTCGGACCCAGAAAATCGATGAAACCGCGAACCGCTGCAATTTTAGGATCCGCAAATCCGTTAAAATTTCGCTCTGAATCCTAAATCCGGGCAAAATAATTTTCAGAATCCGCCGATCTGTTGGCCTATTCACCCCTCTCCTTGAAGTGTTATAGGCAACTGAGGATTAAAATGCTACATAACAGGGCCCTGAGCAATGAGCTTCTTAGACTCAGCAAAAGCTTTGTCATGTGAGTCAGTCCGCTGGATGGGGACGTCTTTGGTGGTTAATTCTCTTAAAGCCTGGACCACATCACTCAAATTTAGACAGAACCTTACGAGGGAATTCAGCACTCGGCATACTTAAAATTGTTTCTACCATGGTTGGGACTGGGCTGACCCCGTCAGGGTTGAGCTGGAATCCCGTAAAAAATCACTTTTGGGGTTTTAAACCTCTACTCTGCCGGGTTCAGCTTGAGTAACACTTGATGCATTCGCAGCAGAAAATTGGGAAGATTCTCATCATGATCTTTCTCGGCCTCCTCTTGTGCTATTACACATCCATGTTTAAGAACACGATCAGCAATGTTTAGTTACAGACACTTTTCATTCCTACCAGGGCTTCCTCCTGCCTCGTTAGATATTTCTCGTTTCCGCTGGAGACTCGCTAGGGCAGACGTAGTCACCAGTACCTGCCAAAAGGGGTATGAGAGATTGTGGCCAAGCTTGATTAGTGATCTGAAGTATTTTGGTGAAACCAGATATCGCATCAGTTACCACAAAATAATTTGCACTATTCAGTTGTGGCAAAATTTCCTCAAAACGGGGAATTTACCTTTTCGGCGTTCGATTTCACGTGTAATATCACGAGACTTTTGTTGTAAGCAAACCGCGAAAGTTCGGACATTGAGTCAACTACCCACTACCCGTGTAAGGACTTCGGCATTATTTCGTAGATAATTTCCATTGTCGTGAAGGTTCTCTATACTCAAAATTGATTTCTTTGAAGTGCAATATGTTTGATTATTTATTAAGCAAGATGTCATTGCCCTACCGCCAAAGTAGATGCGAAGAATGTAGCAAGAATCGTAAACAAAATTGGAACCGATTTCAACGCTATCAATGTGGCAGAACTTTAAAAATATTTCGAGGCATCGGGGGATTTCAGCGAGCAGATAGTTGAAAACTTCGATCGTGGAAATCGCCTCCGTAGTTGAAAAATTGGTTCTGCCGATGAATTCAAATTTCGAAAAAGACGACACCACCTCCTCAAACCATTGAATAAATTGGGAAATGCAAATTCCCAAATCGTCTTTCCTGAAGACTGTCAACAATTTAAACGCGTCGCTGCTGTTTAGATTGTGCGACATTTTTAATCATTTAAGTACCACTCAACTGATCCGAAAGGGACTCGCCGCTTACATATCATTTTAAGATAAATGCCTATTCATTGATGGTTATGTGGAATTTTTGTTAACAACTCCGTTCAAACAAGAGGGCGTTCATGTAGCTTAAATGCAGCCTTTAAAGAAAGTCAAAACGGACGAGGTAGAGGAATACTAAGATCTCCCTTTTATTCTGTTCTTCGTGTACACGAACGACACACCTCTATGACATGACCCTTTCCACCTTTGGCTTCTCAGCTTTTGTCCAACTGCTCCAGGAAAATGGAAACACTTGAACGAACCACCGTTTGCGTTTATCAGACAGGATTGCGATGTTAGTAATCGTTTTTGCAAGCATCATAGGCGCCTCTCTTTGTCCTAACCATTCTGTTAGTATACTTGGGGAACTGAAATCGTACTCGTTCATCGCATATTAATTGGTTTTAATTTAGGGAATCAAGGCTTGCTCTCGTTTCAAAGCGATTCGAGAGCACTAATTTCCCATCACACATACCTCTTACTAATCGAGTTCGAGAGCCGCACTGTAAGATACAGACCGAACTTTTTCCGCTCGGATTTATGGCACAAGCGCGAAGTGCGCGGGAAAAACGAGGCTCCATAACTTACAGTACGGACCGAGAAAAACAAGGTTAGTAAGATATTTATAATATCTCTTGGTTCAAATAGGAGGGAAAAATATTTCAATTCAAGCAGAACGGCTATCAATGATTAACGCGCGTCAAATTTTAAGCACAAAAACATTTTATTGGCTTCCATTAATAAAAACTGGACTATGGGGCGTCAAAAGTTCAAAATATTCGTTTAATACCCATAGTTTAGAATAATGCAAGATTACCCGAAAGTAACAGTTTAAGTATGCCAAGGTTTCCTATAAGGAAGTATGAGAGAACGTTCTGTAAGTAACACTTTTGTCGAGAGTTTTTTCACTTGTCCTACTCAAAAACTCGAAGAATCCGTGCATACATCACTGTATGCACACACAACTAGTTTGATTATTCCACTTCAAAGCGCTTCCTGATACATTCTACGCATCTACTTTAGCGGTAGCGAAATTTCAACTTGCTTGATGAATAATAAAACATATAATACAACGAAAAAATCAATTTCGAGCAAAGAAAAGCTTGACCACAGTGGAAACTATCTACAACAAAATATCGAAGCCAAAATTTGGGACGTGGGTAGCTGAGCCAATGTCTGAACTTTCGGAGTTAATTTACATCAAAAGTCACATGACACTTCACATGAAATCTAACGCCGAAAATGTGGATTGGATGCTTAGGGCCTCTCACTGCTTTGTTAATGGTGTTTGATGGGTCTAAACAGATTCTAAATTTTTTCCTTGCTTCTCTAATAGTCATGTCACTGCATCAAGCTGTTGCCTTATATTGTCAGCATGTCTTTCCTTCGCTTTCCATCTTCTCAAACTGCTCTTTGATTTTGGCATGTCTTGCTAGCGGCTGCCCCTAGTCGTGGACTAGGGTAACTAACGTGTTTAAATTAAAAGAAAAAGGCTTCCCAAACTGTCCCAACCCGGTATACACATCAGGAAATACTTTAAGAACCCACACTAGAGTAATCGCAGCAGGGCGGGATGGAAACAGTATGTTTGGATGCGAAATAATCAAACGTGTGGTGCAAGTATCAGTTCTTGTAGCAAAGGGATGTCTCGGGAGTGCGAGGTCTCGGCTGTTGGCAGCTGTACTGAGGCTTCAGGATGGAGGTTTGAGAGTGTTTCGGTACAATGTGATGTTCCACGCAAATTGACTTCATCTGCAGGGATCTTAACCAGTCCCAGATTTGCATACTCTAAGCCAGAAAGGAGAAGTGGCTTGCAATTTACCCGTAGGTTTGAGCTAAGTGTTGTCATAGGCTAATAAGGTTGCTTTGCTGAGAGTAAGATAGTTTTTTTTGTCTGCCCTAGAGGGATCAGCAATTGAGCAATTTTATCTGGTAGCGTGTTGCATATGGAGGCAGTGTCTAACTGCACCATGATTGATTTGTTTAGGTCCTTGGTCACACCCAGTTCCAAGGGGCTGGACAATTAACGCCTCAGGGCCGCGCCTTTTGGATTTTGTGAAGTGCTATAGACAGTTTGGACATATATTTCTGGTTTGATATCAACCTCAAAGAGATCAGTTTCATACTCCTCCCCTGAACTAGCACCAAGATGGTGTCTCTGGGGTTTGGTGCCTAAGAAGGTCCGGCTAAAGAGGGTGCTTCCATTTGACACGCGCGGGAAAAGTGTCCGATTCTCGCACAGCGCTTCTTAGAGCATCGCTTCTTTGAAGCCGTGCATACAGAGCAAGGGTGTGCAGACCTGCACAATATTTACAGGTGTCCGCCTTTCGCTTTTACTTTGGGATGTCTTTGTGCCTGTGTAGCTTACTTGTTCTTGGAGAATTAAGATTGCTGCATTATTGCTTTAGCCTTCTCAAATTGCTTAAAGTTTTTAGCTACCTGTAGTGTTGTCTAAAATAATACCATGCCCTTTGTTGTTTCATCTTTACGGCCCATATTTTGCAGTGTTAACACCAGTCTCTCGTCGTTGATTCCTGATATTAACTGGTGCTCACATTTATTCCAGTACTCTAGGCTCCTAGTTTGTTTTTTAACTTGTCCTTTCCAGGCTGTGACATATTCTCTCCGTAAGAAACTCTTTCAATAGCCATGAAGTGTTTCTGCAAGTGTTTGTAGTTACTTCGCTTACGCTTGTGATAGTTGAAAGCCGTGCACGAGGTTTTCGGGTTCTTCGTTACCAGCGATGGAGGAACGGAAAGCTGCCAAAGCTTTGCCTTTTGCCTGCCACTTTAGCCTAACAGGCACGGTCTGCTTCTTCTGCTGTTTCTTCGGCAGGAGGCTCGCTGTCGTACCATCCATTAAGCTCGCACCAATCTTTGAACAACTGAATGAACTTTTCACAATTTCTTCGTGGATCTTCCGTGAACGAAAACCGCGGGAGTTGACCGCAACCCCTTGTCCTGGCAAGGACACCATCGTCAGTTGTATTTTGATTTCTGAACTTCAGGAAGCGTGTTATTTGGCTGGAATCTCACTTTTGACACCATGTTGGGAAAGAGAAAACAATACGAAAGCAGACGCCACTTCTTTTCAACACCCCACATGCTGGGCCAATCCATAACAAGTTGAGGACATAATACATTATCTGTTCCCAAAAATGAACTGAGAGCGGGGCACGAGCTGAGAAAAACTCTGAGTTTCCAGGAACAAATTATGTTCAAGAGCAAATATACAAGCGTTTTGTTAGGTCAAACGGGAATATTGTGCTCATTATACCTAAGACATTTTTTGAAGTGCGTCCAATAAATCATTTAAAAACAATTTATTGGACGCATAGACACTTTAATCTTCCTTATCATTCATTACAACATATGACAGTTTGTGGCCTTTCCTTACATCTTGGCAGTTCGGGGAGCCGCAAAACACTAGAACAAAAATTTATCTTCCAAATCGGCACTCTTAATCCCCACGGTATCAACCAGCGCTTTTCATTCAACTAATTTATTCTTGTTTTCTTGTCACCATATTCCCACCAATAGCGTAGCTCGTCTTTCTGCTTATAAACCCACACTCAACCCACAGCTGCTCCAATCGCTCTGACGAAGGGCTTACGCTCGAAAAGTTACCTTTTTTACCCTTTACAGCGGTTAATTGACGTTTTCAACTCAGTTGTTAACACTAAATTATCTGCTATACTCTCCCACCGACGCAGCACCACAGTTTCTTTAGAAACTTACCCCCTTTACTAAATCTTGGTTTCAAATTTTAATTGCCCTCAAGTCCATGCGTTGCAGAGGAGCCAGTTTACAATTCATGATGGCAGGGTCCAAATCCTATATTCCAACTGGTATATTTTCCAATGCCCGCCCTCATATTTTTAATAGAAATTCCATCCCCATTGTTATTAGTGGGGATGGGACTTCTCTTAAAATTTTATTAATCCCACGGAATTCAAAAAAGGTTCAGAGAGACGCAATTTACTGAAAGATGGAGAGTTCAAAACTCCGCCAGTCCAAAAAGAAATTTGAAGTTAACAAGTATAGCAAAATCCACAAATTCCAACCTCCTCCTTCCCCACTTCCCCCCTCCCACTTTAAGAACATATTATTAGTTCGTAATATTGAGATCAAAATCGAACAAATCCTCTCGCTTATTTACCAAAACTTGGTTCCAAATTTAAATTGCCTACTGGCCCATGCGATCGGCAGCGTTGAAAATCAAATAAAGCTATGATACTTGCAGGTGAGCTAAAATTTTAGCAGTTGCCGTAAAAGGTGTCTGACAAAAAAAACCATTCTTCGAACCTCTGAACTTTGCCTCGCTCTCAAATTTGCTACATTTTTGTTCATTAAGGGACCGTTTACAACGTATTTTAGACGATAATTTGACCCACATCCAGTTTAATTTAACTAACTCAAATTTAAATAGAAAATGTTCAAAAGGACATATTAACCCAGACTCACCAGGGAATAATGTTTACCCATTAAGGTGAGATCTTATAGTCAATCATATGTTCGTTTCTTAGGTTTTTAAATGGAAACCAAATTAACGAGCTACCTCACAGAGTCTTTAATAACAACTCCGAGTTGACTTGGCTTTAAGTAACACATTCGATTCATAATTTAATGTTTAACGGATCGTCTCGGATAAGACCTTGAAACCTCGTTATTTACAATGCACTCTTGTTAACTCCGATGATAAGCTCGTCCTTTGATTTCTTGCTTCAGTCAGGGTTAGAAAATTTCCACTTTTATCAATGAGAGACGAGCATAAGCGTATTCAAACTCTTCCACAGCCATAATATGCGAGTAAAATAGAGTGACATGGATTTTAGAGTGTGTGAGTGAAGCAGCGGCGAGAATCAGTTTTCACCAGTTACCTTACTAAGATTTCTTAACCAATTTCGCATTTTTCTGGCATCTATTTTGTTTGCATATGCGAGCACATCTGTCTGACTGGTTACAATGAGTTGTTCTTAGGAAAAAGTATTAAAATAGCTATAAATTTTTACACAAAAGCAACATCAAGAAATTGCGTGGTAATTGACTACTCCTTTTGTCAGGCTGCAAGAGTTGTTAGTGAAAAAACATCCTTTTTCGTGTTGCACCACACATATTTGTAAGGGACTAATAGAGATCCTATCACACCCTTGAAGCATTAAAATTGTTGAGATCGAGGTGGCAGGATTCAAATCCTATATCCCAACTCGCACATAGTTTCAAATGTTAATAGAAATGCCATTTAGATTATTATAAATCCCACTGTTTAAAAAAGAAAATCGTGGTATGGATGCAAACTGCGTTACGTTAATCTAATTTACTGCGACTATATCATCACCCAATCCGAAGTAATACATCAATCCCAAAACATTTTTAAAAAGTTTACCTTTATTATCAATTCACAGTTTTATAATTAACCAGAAATCCGATTTCAATCGTTACACGAAGGCGCGCCATAAAAGGGTACCTCTGAATCATTTGCCAATCAAACGTCTTGGCATACAGAAATCCAAAACAGCTTGAGCTGCAGCCAAATCAAGGCACTGACCAGAGGCGCATTTCTCGGTAAATTTCTACGATTTCATCACAATGGAAGAACTTTTTGAGGTTTGTATTACCTTCCTCCGATCGAAACCCTCTTCATTTATGACGGTAAATTTGAAATTCGAAATGATTCGCTTCGCCATCGCCTAAAATTGCCATGGCGTAATTTCATGTCTGTTCTTAAATACTGGATGTAGATGACCATTAGAATAAAAAGAAAAGATGAAGAAATGTTCAAGGATTTTCTTCAGTAATGCGAAGGGGAAGTGCTGTAAACCCAACGGAAGAAAAATAAAAGCAGAGCGACCATTGCAGGCGAAATTCTGGAGCGCGCGAGGGAACCGCCGCCAACCACCGATTCACTTGGACATGTCCAGGCATCGATGTCGCCAAATGAATCATCTGTACGGGCTTCCTCCACAAATGGTGCGATTTCTTTTTCTTTTTTGTTAATCTAAGTATAATATGATTACAACAATACTGAATGATCTTTAGCCTTTGGATACAGTTCGATACCAACAATCACTGTGATAATGTATCACCAAGATCGAAACACACACGTAACGCAATAATTTTCTAGAAGTAACTAATTGCAGATTTTTTTTGAACTAGGAAATACTAGTTAGAATATATTTGCAAACCACAGATTTTTTCGTATGATGCGACAGTTCATGTCAAACACTGCTTCCTTTTGATGCCTCCATTTTCCGAAATGCAGCCTTGCGTGTCACCTACAAAACGTTTTGTCCTGCCTAAGAATGTTTTGTCCCGCCGAAGAATGTTTTGTCCCGCCAAAGAATGTTTTGTCCCGCCTAAGAATGTTTTGTCCCGCCTAAGAATGTTTTGTCCTGCCTAAGAATATTTTGAAAGGAGTTATTTCTTTAGAACTACAAGTTATATTTATTGCGATATTTTATGCTACACCATGGGCATACGTGCCAATTAAACATGAAAAATGTACGTAAAAATTGTCCAAAATAAAATGTAGGCGGGAAGACTAGTTGTACGATCATATCTGACTTCATGACCGTTCAGTTGCGCTTTCGCTCTAACAGTCATTTCACCTTATCTCCACAATAGCTGATGCAAGAGGGGACGAGTTCGAAATGTGTATTTACTGTTGGCAAACGCCATGTGTAACAACCGACAGTCGCGAATACCTTGGCTATCGCGAAGCACATATTCAAAATCACGTGCGACGTAGAAAAGATTAGAAGACGTACTGGAGAGCATTGAACAAATGTGGGCTCTGGAAAGACCCTGTTTACCAGGCTAGAAAAGTCGAACTGGGGGACCACGTTAATGTAGTGCGGGAAAGGATGCCCAATTGTGTTATAAAAGATGTGAGCTCAAGGTTTCCTAACCCTCCTGGTATTGCCTATATGGGGCATAAAAGGGAATAATAAAATTATCATACAAATGCCCACCTCAAAGAGAGCCCAAGTACCCAATTTTTTTTTTTTTATGGTCCATTTTACAATGTCCACACAGCAAATTATAGCGACTTTCCTATAGGTTAGGAAAAGATATACAGTGCGAAGAAAAGTAACAGGAGGAAACAGAGAATGAGTCTGCTTGGAAATACCTTGTGTCAAACCTAATATTCATGTTTTCATTGCTTGGTACCAGCAGTTGTTAGAATTGGTCCTCCCTAATGACCTCACATATTAATACTGAACATTTGGGCTCCTAGTTGTAATCATCACAGAAACTTTGGTGCAATGGAAAACAGAAGAGACATCATTTGTTTATATTAAAAAAGGTAGACCAGATAGTTTCTCTGAAATTAAATGTCTTTGAAGTAAGCACCCTGGTCTCTGCCAAGCGGTTTGGATGCCTGGTATGTTGGTACATCTATGGAGACGATGCTTCTTGATTCACATTTTTATTCTGTAAGACAAATGAGTCAATGAGCAAAGGAAGGCAGTGAATCCAAAAAGTGCCAAAGTAATTGAGCAGAATTAACAACATAAGTTTCTTACCCAATCAAGAATGGCTAACTCCATGTACATGTTGTATGTGTCATCCCCATAATGAATCCGCTTTGCAGCATAAATGAGCATCACTGAATGGAGAGACTCAATCCAATATGTTTCCCTGCACTGAAGAAGGCAACAAATTATGGGTGATTTTCTTTAACTGGAAAATGAATTTGTTCAACTCATTTATGGCCCTTACCTCAACATCATTAATTTGGAAGAAGATATAAACTTCTTCATGCAAAGAAACATAAACATACAGCATGCGTCAATTAATTACCCGCATGTAGTCCGATGCATGCCCATAAATTGAAGTGCCCATAATGGCTTCCCTGCGTGCAGCTACTACTTCAGGTTTAGTTAAAAGTTTTTTGCTCATCACATAGCCATTCTGCTTGCACCGTGACTCCGCATGGCATCTGACATGATTTCCCTGAGTAATAAATACACCAAGTTATAGAAAAATAGATTAATAAATCAGTAGTAATAATTATAGTAAGTATAATGTCTCTTGTTCACCATTATTAAAGAAATATGTGCAATCTTTGAGGTAATGATCATGTCATATCTTACTAGAATAACACAACAAAAGGTACTTACAGAAATGAAAACAAAATACTATGTTCTCAATAAACAGTCACTCAAATTACCTGGTAATGGTCAACTACATTCAACAGTGTACCCTAAAATTCTTCTTCTTCGGGTGGACTGTCATTCATGCAGAAGTATACAAGAGTCCTTGTACTTTTCACTGTAAAATATTCAGAATTATTATATTCCATTATAGTCATCTTATATAAAGAAGGAATTTGACATCTGCAGGTAATTGTGGAGAGAATATAGCTTTTGATGACTCTCATAAGAGAGATATCTTACCTTTGTCGAACAATTCAAAAAACCACTTTGAGCCCTCATCCCTCTGGCCCCTGAGGCAACTTCCTTCATTGCTTTAGTCACAGACTTTGCACCTGAAAATAAAAAAATATATATATTAATACCAATAAAATGCTAACTTTCAAGAAATAGTCATAATCATCAAGACAAAATCAAAGTCAATGGAATTAAGCATTCCTTTTGACAAGATCCATGTTTTTAGCTGTAATACAAAGTCATATGCCACCTCTGCAACATGGAACCCTGAAAAAAGAATTACTTTAACTGCATTATAAAAGATACTTCTGATCTCCATATTTGTATTACATATGTGATATGATATTATTGAGGATGCAAATTTATCATACCTTGTGTCTCAGAGAGATAAGTCAGCAGCTCTTTTGTCATGGGGACCTCACGGCTTACTGCTGAAGTTTCATTGGCCCTACTCCAGTTGACAGCTGCTAACACCTTTTTGGTCCTGAAGATAATCAGTGCAAATGAAATGATTTTAGGAATGGTGTTGAACATACCAGAGGTTCAACATATCATACAAAGAGATCAAGTAGAAACCATCTCATAAGAAAGAAAGGGCTGACACTGTTGTGTGTGCTGCCGTTTGACTGGAATCATGTCTTGCATATTTTATAACACACTGTAGGAAGAAATGGTAGAAATCAAGACATAAAATGGTCACATTTCTCTACTCACAGATATTTTCAAGGTTTACAATATGATATAAGATTTTATATTTTTGTATGTGCCAGTCTACATGATAATATATTCCGAGTATGGCAGGTGTATAAGTATGTGGCCAAAGACAAAATGAAATTATAATGACAATTTGTACCTCCCCATTCACAGCATATGCAGGGTTACTCTTCACTTGTTCTTGAGCAGCCAACATCGACTTATTGGAGACCCTCTTCACGACTGTCAAGTAACTGAGCTTTTTCAAGACTGCTGAAGTGATTAAAAATAGAAGTATATTAGAATTGTATCTGGTAAAGCACAAACCGAAGAAGGAACAGTTCAGTCAGTTTGAGCTATCTTGGTAAACATTCATGATTTAGCAACCTGCAAACTGCTGTTGATTGCCTTCTACTTGCAAGGAGAAAGACTACATGATTTTCAGAGCATCTGAGCATGTGCATTGCTAACCTGTGTTGGAGGTCTTTTCTCCCTCTGACCCGATGTTGACTGCTTGACAGAAACTTGTGTATTCTGTCTCTGTCAAGCCACAGGAAAATACTCCATGAACCAATCTATGAAAGAGAGACAGAGAAGTGACCAGTTACAAAAAACAAAAACTGTAAAATACCGAGAAAACAAATTTCTGTAAATTTCAAGCAAAAATAAGAGTGCTCACCTCAAATTTACATAGTACTTTGGAGGAGATCCTCCCATGATTGGGGAGGAGAGCCGCTTGAAAGAATCTCCACCAACACATGAAATTGTCACTGACACTACATGACTCTGTCGATTAAAGACAAGTGAGTCACAAGCGAGGGGTTTTCCACAATAAAAACATGATGTCGTTAGCGTATCAGAGAAAAAAGAAAACAGAGTTCGCGGAGATTCTTCACTGCAGAGATATAAGGAGTCGTTCTCTGCTGAAGATGCAGTGATTTGCATTCTTTGTGGCGTACGTTCTGCTTGGAGGAGAAATTGGAGAAAAAGGATCAGCAAAAGGCAAATAAATACGTGAAGATGGAGTGGAAGAAGCTGAAGGAATTGAAAACCGTGCAGTTGTGGATTGTGTATTTCGGACTTCCCGTTGATGATAAGCTCAGATCGCTCTATGTCAGTCATTTCCTCTCAATTTTCTCCTCAAAAGCTAACAGAAGAGCTTCCATCAAATCTGCATATGCCGAGAAGTCTGCTCTCCTAAGTTCGAGGAACTTTTATGTTGAAAGAGAACTGTGGACCTCGATCCGTTGGATGCTTTTCCTTGGGTACAGATGGCTCATTTCCCTCAGCCATAACGAATAAATTTCCCAATAAATATATCTTTCGAGCAGCGACAGCCAAGACTATTCTCCAAACTGAACTAGAGTTGTGAAATTCTGTCTCAAAATCGCACTTACTTGTGAAATCATCCCTACTTTAGAGGTTTTGTCACAGAATTGTCACAGATAACAATAGTCTGAGCATTGCGCATAGAATGTGTCATGAATCCGCTAGTTTCGATGGGAATAATCTGAAGGCTCGAAGAACCAGTTTGTATCAGGGGCTTGGGACATAAGCCGAAGTTACACGGCGCGAATTTTGAAAAGACAATTGTGCGAATGTCTCGTCGACCGCAGATAACGCTCTGAGCGGCTGAACGATAAGTTAGTGCCAATTAATATCAAAATGAGCTCAATTATGGGAATGAGAGTCAACAAGACGCAATATCTTCTAATTTATTGACACAAAAAAAACACTTAAAGTGTGTCTTCAATGCAGACCGTTTCACTCATGGTGGGAACTTTGGTCGCCATATTGGATGATTTTTGCATTTGAGCTGAAACAAAAGGGAGGAGCCAACCTATTTATAACGCGCATTCGTGTTAAAATTCACCTTTCACAAAGCCTTTCCCTAACGCAAGCAATCATCAGGAAAAATAATCAATTCGGACTTTTTTCCATAAAATAAATGTTCCAAATGAACATTCCCACCCCTCCCCCCCCCTCCCACTTAGAGAACACACTGTTAGGTCAAAAAGAGATATTTTGTTTATTAAACTTGAATCATCTACAAACAGTATTATGTCAAAACTAAGGTTCTCTTCTTTGCGCAAGTTTAGGCTGTGTATTTTTAAAAAAAAAATTAATTTCTTTGGAGCTGCCAATGTAAATCCATGCGTTGCAGAGGGGCCAGTTTACAGCTCATAATGGCAGGATCCAAATCCTATATCCCAACTGGCATATTTGCCAAGACCCCGTTTCAAATTTTTAATAGAAATCCCATCGCCGTTGTTATTAGTGGGAGTGGGATTCAGTCTCTATTAAAATTTTGTTAATACCACTAGCTTCAAAAAGGGTTCAGAGAGTCGCAATTTACCGAAAGATGGAGAGTTTAAAACTCAGCCAGTCGAAAAGAAATTTGAAGTTAACAAGAATAGCAAAATCAACAAATTCCAACCTCCTCCTTCCCACTCCCCCCTCCCACTTCAAGAACATATTGTTTGTTCGTAATATTCAGATCAAAATCGAACAAATCACATCGCGTATTTACCAAAATTCGGTTCTAAATTTTAACTGCCCACTGGCCCATGCGATCGGCTGCATTGAAAATCCGATTTCAATCGTTACTGATCCCATTTAAATTCACCTTTCATGGAGCCTTTCCCCTAACGTAAGCAATTATCAGGAAAAAAATAATCAATTCGGACTTTTTTCATACAATGACTGCTCAAAATAAACATTCCCACCTCTCCCCTTCCACTTGGAGAACACATGGTTAGATGAAACAGGGGATATTATGTTTATTACACTTCAATCATTTACAAACAGAATAGTGTCAAAACAAAGGTTCTCTTCTTTGTGCAAGTTTAAGCTGTGTATTTGTAACTCATTTTACTGCGCGACTTTTCGATATGATGTATTTGTGATGAAATGAGTTTCTTTTGACTTGCGGATTAAAATCAAATAAATACATGATCCTCGCAGGTGAGCTGCAATTTTACCAATTGCAGAAAAGTTGACTGAAAAATAATTCAGGCTCTGACGGGATTCGAGATACTAATTGGGCTATGCTGCAAACTGAGCTACAAAGCCACACGTTATGAGTGAGGTAAATTATGGAAGATACATCTTTTCTTGGAGAAAACTTATGCTCTTTGCAAAGAGGTAAATCAAATAGCGCCATGACAAACGCAGGTGAGCTGAAATTTTTGCAATTACAGAACAGTCCGGAAAAAAGGAGAAAAAGGCTCGTTCCTTGACTTTAGGGGTTACCTCGCTCCAACTTGGGAGGAGGAGAAGAATCTAGAAACAATTTTGCTTTTATTTTTTATTTCGTTTTTTCATCACATTAGGTGTATTGAAAATTGTTTGAGTTTACCTATTTGCTGCATTTTTTTCGGTTTGGTATACACAATAATTTTTAAATATTGTTGAGACTCCTTCCCAATTTTAGTTTATCCAACCAAATTAAAAAAAAAAAACAAAACAAAACAAAAGTAAAAAAACAACAACAAAAAAAGGTGAAATGAACGACGTGAAATTATGTGTTGTTTAGAATGCTCATAAAAAGTATTGGAAAAAATTTGGCTTAAGATACGCCCTGAAATCTTTCTCATTTGAGCCTGTTGATTTCCGAGGGTAAAGGTCAGAATTCAGATTTCGAGATTTTGAAAACGACCAAAAAATGTAAGCCAGCATCTTGAGTAGGATTTGATTTAAAAATTTGTAGAAATCAACTACAGCGTTGCATGAACATTGTGAAAACGTGAATGAAAGCGATCTTCAAATTCAGGCCTGTACGGAATTTGAACCCATGACCTCTGCGATACCGGTGTAGTGCTCTACCAACTGAGCTAACAAGCCAACTGGGAGCTGGTTCAAATATATGACTTCCATATATTCACAACCGTTTATTCACCACTTCACAGGTGTATTTGGGACCAACACATTGACCGGCTTCCAGTTGGCTTGTTAGCTCAGGTGGTAGAGCACTGCACCGGTATCGCAGAAGTCATGGGTTCAAATTCCGTACAGGCCTGAATGTTTTTTCAGGTCTTCTGTTCACTACTACTTAAGTAGTGTTCATTACTGCTAAGATCGCTTTCATTCATGTCTTTAACTGCAGTTCAAATATATGACTTCCATATATTCACAACCGTTTCTTGTGAAAACGCCAAGGAAAGAAAAGCCCATGTTGATAAAATTGCCTTATGGAGCTATGATCTGCGTTCTCAGTTTTACTTTTTACCCGCCAAAGTCGCTTGGTTATTTTGGAAACTAATGAAGCAAAAAAGTGAGAGATCAGAGATGTCTTTAACGTACTGTACGACAACTATACGTATCCTTTAGAACTTTTAATAATGAAAAGCCGATTGAGGTAGCCATATCTCGAGTAAGAACTTTGCGCCTTTTATGCTACCTCGTCTCTGGTGATATGATGTGCGTTTTCTTTGCGGAGACCGATTTTTAGCTTTTATCACGAAAAGTATTAACTTGCGGTGTAAAATAATTCTATCCTTTAAAATAAAAATAAAATAAAATAAAATAAAAAAAACCAGCTTGGTTTAAAAAGAGTTAGTAGTCACCTCTTGTAAATCTGGTTTATATTTTGTGGTAATTCCATATTCGAGTAAAACACGTTGAAAGATTGACACGTTCAGCGTGCTCTACTAGCTCCATGACTAAATAATTAGTTGAAAATGCATGAGATAAAAGACTGCATGCGCGCAACACGCAAACTGCGTGTCCTACACGCAGTTGCAAGTCTGACTGTGAGAAGCGTGTAAATTAAACGATTAGTGTAGCCAAGTTGAGTGAGAACTTTACATATCATTTTATCTTGTCTCCAAATTTGTCCCTTTTTTGGTTTGTTTCACTCTCATGCATTCGTTTTAGTCGTTAGTGTGACGTGCGTTCTCTCAGGGTAGACCGATATTTGAGCTTTTAGCGCAAAAACCAGTTGTCTAGTAATTTGTTTGCTGAATTATTCAACCTGCAACCCTGTAACCTATTAACTTTACGTTAAATATTCCAGGATTTTACTAAAACACATGTTCTTACATGAATAATGAATATTCAGATCCTAGAACTCTAAGCAGTTAGCATAGCAGGTGGCATAATATACAAAACGATCGCAATGTTACATCATATAACAACTCAAGTTAGAGATAAAGACAAATGTAATTGGAAACATTGTGTTATTAACAATATCAAGTAATCGACATATAAAGGCACTTGTATTTAAAAGAGCATTAAAGAAACGTTTAAACAACCCAAACTGGATAATGATGGACGGAAAAAATCATAATATGATCCCCTCGCCTCTGTAGACAGAAAAACAACAACAATAAGGACAACAAGGACAAAAACAGCAAAAAAAACATTCAATATTCATTTAAATGATCCTTGTTTTCTTCTTATTAGGATTTGAATTCTATCCAGTTCTTTAACCTGCTGTAACTATTTAATCACGTTTTATTTATATGCCTAATCTTTGTAGTGCCTTGTTTGGCAACCAAATAGAAAATCTACCGCCTGGAGTCTTCGCTAACAACACCAAGTTGACTCACCTGTAAGTAAAACATTTGTAGGTTCATATTTGATACTATCGATGCTATTAATTACTATAATAATTGTGTTTTACATAGCACTTATTGTTATATTTTGTAAGCAGCTAATATTAATTCCATCCCACCCATAATGCAACACGAGTTAAGCTGTAAAGATCTGAATTCAATTTAATCAGAACACATTTTTACCCAGTCCAGGGTAGAAACATCAAGAATCGCTATCACCCCTATTATTTTAAAAGTTGTCGAGGAGTACGTGATTTATCAATTACCTTTAAATTACGTCTCCAAACTTCACCAGAGATAAGATTTCGATTGTTCCTTATCTCATTACATTTACCTAATTTTCTGTTGGGTAAGGTATATATCGACTTTTTTTCATACAATTCCAATACACACCCGTAAGAAATGTCTTTTTCCCGATGGAATAGGCAAAATTCTATTCGTAACACCTTCCAACGGATGTAAGATACGTTTGACGCGAAAGAGTATCGGAAGTCAGATGAAAATCAAAGAGGGCAGAAATGTTGTTCGATGGTATCCGCCGATACACAATTGTCGAATGGAATCCGACGGGGTCCATGGGAACCCAAAAGAGTCCATCCATGTCCGTCGGAATCACTAGTCTTGTGGTAAACCTAACCTCAGACAAGTGCAGTATAAAAGAAATATGCCTCGTTCTTAAAGCCATGAAGCGAAACAGCTCGTTTCAAGCGCGAATAACTTGATTACATACCTTGTTTTTCAATCTTAAAGCAAAACAGCGCTTTACCCTTACAATTGCAGTATCCGTGAAATATGGCCCGTTCTTTAAGCCATGCAGCTAAACGGACAACGGAAAATAGCCTCGGTTTTTTTGCTTAAAAACAGTCAAATGCAGTGTACGTAGGAAATGCCTCGTTTTTTATGCTATAAAGCGAAACAGCTCCTAACAAGTGCGAATGACTAACAGCGACTTACGGCGCTTTACGTAGGCAACTGCAGCAGGCGTGGTATATGGCGAAATATGCCTCTTTTTTTAAGGCCATGGAGCGGAACAGCCCATATCAAACACGAATGACTTGAAAGATACCTCGTTTTTCAAGCGCGGATAACTTCAAATCTCGTTCTTCAAGCCATAAAGCAAAAATACGCTTTACACAGAAATATGAAGTACAGTATACGGAAAATATGCCTCGTTCTTAAAGCCCTGAAGCAAAACAGCCCATTTTAAGCGTGGATGACTTGATTTATGTTTTTTTCTTCCAGCCATTTAGTCAAAACGGCGCTTAACGCAGAAAAATTGGATGCAGCTTACGTAAAATATGCCAAAACTTCTTTTGCTTCATTTGGTCAATTTCACAGAATTCCGTCCATTCTACGTATGAAACTATTCTGTTTCAAGTTGGGGATTTCCGATCTTAAAGATGTTAGAAGCAATTTTCTAACACTCGTCGTTCAGTCGACTATTTCTTTTATTCTCTTTCTACTACACAAGTTATTACAACGGGGACTGGCTCTGATCTCTCTAGGAAAGTGTGGGTCACTGCTTATAAAGGGGACACTTACGGAGCTGTCAATCTCTAACCTTCGTCATGCTTTTACACTTAACTAGCGAATCACGCTAAGCTACGCAGAGCGGAGTTCGCATACTAAGTAGATACCTTCGCGATGTTTACGCTTTACGAAATGTCTTTCTAACTTAAATCTCTTGGTCTTACGGTCAAGCTCGGGCAAAACAATAAAAAAATATTATAACAGACTTAATGAAAGAATTAAAATCATACTTGAAAAGATATCTTAAGAGAAAATAGTCCTTGAAGGCTGTTGCATAACAGCAGAATAAACACAAAATTCGGAGAAGAAAGGGCGTACCCAAGGTACTGCCCCTAAAAGAGCCACGTGCTAGCCGCAGAAGTTATCTGATAACAAATTCAGTGCAGAAGATGAAAAGTACTACATGTTTACACCTTAAGTCACCCCTAAGAAAAAGAGGTGTCGAACGTGCTAAATTATAAATTAAAAACCATTTTCCTGATTGGGAATTCAACATGGATTTAGCCTAAAACGAGTGTTAAATGGGTAAAGTATGGTTATTAGACCTTAAGAAAATGTCTATTTTTACAGGAATCGTACGAATAATTTTCACCCCAGAGATTATAAACTACAGAAACCGAAAAGGGGCAGTTCAAAAATATTTTGCGAATCCGAAAAAATATTCAGAATCGATATCTTTTATACAAATCGCTTGTGAAAAGTTTGTCAAATCGAGAAAACAATTTCAAATCCTGATTTAATTCATAGATCCACGAATAACTTTGATGGAAATCGAAAATAGTTATGTTCTCGGGTCTAAGGCTTCCATTTGTTGCAAGAAGGGAAACACCAGAATGAAGCACTGGGTGCTCTACTAACCAATGCAACATCCGAAAGAATGCCCAAAAAAACGTAAGATACCGATGAGAGCACATTTTCCTGCTATTTACCAAGTCAAAGGCATTAAAATACTAATACAGCATTATTATTATTATTATTATTATTATTATTATTATAACTGTACCAAGTGCACGGCGATGTTCTGCCACGAATGTGAAAAATAATTTACCGTTGATGTGGAAAATGAAAGGGATGAACAGAAAAATGTGTGGCACGGTTCGTCAGATGAGAGATTTGCCATTGAACATTGCTTTGAAAGAGGATTTCGTTATGATACTATTGTTCAATTTTAGACAAAAACCATGTTATTTCTATGAACTCGAGGACTCTAAAGAGAGGGCTGCGTGAGTATGGGTTGAGAAGAAGAAATGAGTTCCATTCAGAGCACGAAGTTTGAGAGATGATTAAACATCAAATCGAAGGCCCTTCATCACTTTTTGGATATCGTGAGATGTGGAACAAGCTACAGTGTTGCTGTCCCTCGAGACATGGTCATGGTTTACAAGAGCTTGATTTACAGGCATCTATCCTTCGAAAGGCCAGGAAGCTTCGGTGTCGATCATTCATCTCGCGAGGTCCAAACGCAGCTTGGCATGTTGACGGATACGACAAAGTGAAACCTTACGGCTTACCTATACATGGCTGTGTGGATGAATTATCCAGGAGAATATTGTGGCTCAAAGTATGTAAAAGTAACAATTATCCCGTAATTCAGGCCAGTTTTTTCAATGGAGTGGAAAAAAGAAGACTACAACCAATGTTGGTGCTAACATATTGTGGCCTGACTGCCTTAGAGTGCCTTTTATCAGGTGAAACGGTTGCATATCGTTGTCCATTTTCACACGCCAATCGGCACATCTAAAATTGGTGGTCACATAGTGAAAGGGGTTTCACTGCGTGGGTCATAGATTTTCTAAGGCACTCGTGATTGAAGGAAAGCTTACTTTAGGTAACCACTTGCATATGGATGGGTCTGGTTTGTGTTTTCCAACATTCTGCAATTTGAACTTGATAAAGTGAAACATGAATGGAACAGCCATTTCATAAGACAGTCCAGGCATTGCACAGTGCCTGGTATTCCAGATGAACTTTACTACTTGCCTCACGCTCATGGATTTGATCATTGTAGATTAACTTTATCCGCAGATGACAAAGAGAATGTGCTTGATCGAAGAGAAGTTTATAACGAGGCAGAAATTGCTAAGGAGATTGATGATGAGCGCCACGATTTTGCCTCATATAAGGTAATCCGGATTCCAGAATCTAGTAATTTTTTCTCTTGGAATCCGGTCTACAGGACATTGAAATCCAGAATCCAGATTTTGGAGTGAAGAATCCCGCTAAAGAATGAATCAAGTCAAGAAACAATTTACTCCTTTTCGCATTCATTCTCATCTGTGATTAAAGTTTGGTTATTACAGGCCTCAGCATGTCACAAAGGGGTAAGAGAGCCTTGCTGGTTTCAGGCATACTTGATATTTCCTCATCTGATATATCTGGAATTTCAATGGCTGGAGAAGTTTCCATAAACCCCAAAAATGAAACCTTTGCGCATTTTCAGCCCATAAATCAGCATGTACTGCAATTTCATCACCAAAGAAGAGGCCATAGCAGGTTGGACACTGTTTTCCTGCTATTATTGTTGACCATGCCCTCATCTAGTTATGTGGAAATATTAATAGCATTGGATGTAACTTGCAGTTTGGTGATCGATGAACCGGTTTCAGAGGGGAAACGTGAAAGTCACCTGCATGTGAAGGGGTGCAATATCAAACACTGATCGATTGACTATGCTGTCATCGTCTGAGGGTACGTCGATTAAAGGCTTTTCCTATACGAAGTCTACGATCATTCATCTCCCCGTCTGCCTTGAAGTCTGCTTCTTTACAAACGTACAGATCAACATTAGAGTACCGTTTTGTTAGTTCCTGCTTTTATCTAGCAAGTGTGAAGTTATTTTGACTGCATGGCATTTTGTCTACCACCTTCTGATCTGGGTATAATGGAATGTAATTCTCCTCTACATGGAAAATTGATCACGATCGGAGTGCTTCTTAACAGCATCCTTGCATAGTTTTGCGGCCCCCCGTCTTTCCTAACATTTAAAGCCTCTTTACTTCCCATCTGTACAACCAGTTTGCAGTCTTCATCTTCGCTTATCATGCCTTGATTTATCACAACCCTATTGTCTACAGTCTTTTTTGAATCCGCTGTTGTGTTTTTGCCTTTCCATTTCAATCCATTGTGCGGCTTGCCAAAGCCTCTTCGTTCTTCACTTTTACTTGTAGTGTACCGCGATAATGACATGGTTGGCAAAGCCTTTTCTCCCTCCTCACTTCTTCTTTCAGTTAATGGTGTTAATGGTAATTGTCCCTTTTCGGCTTCCGTAATAAACTGTTTATAGCGTTTCGTCTTCACGCTCTATCAGTTTGAATGAAAACGCCAATTTTCCTGATATAATATCTTTAGGTTGCCGTATCTTGTTCTTTAACTGTGATTATTTATTAAACTGATAATTAATAAACACTTATTTTGTAGATGGCTTGGCAAAAACAAGATTAAGAAGTTGCGTGCTGATTTATTTACTCCATTAGAGAAGCTAAAGATTCTGTAAGTCAGGAAGCTTGTATATTGATCTTCTTTAACTTGACAGGATTTTAACTTTTCCTTCAAATTTTTCCAAGCAAGCTTTTTTTTTTTTTTTTCATATCTTTGGTCCCCGGGGAGTTAAGTGCTCTTTTATCCTTGCAATCTCGTTGGCTCTTATCGGTGCGATTTATTTACGAAATTGCACCATTTTTTTTTCCCAGCTTCTGGGAAATTTTATAAAAAAAATAACTACCAATTCTATTTCAAGGCTTGGTGTAAGAAACCAACAAAATGAGAAGAAAATGAAAGACAACTCTTGCAACTAAAAGCAAACATACCCCGAAAAAGGGAAAACAACTGACTAAAAGTCTGGCTTCCAAAAACAGATACGAAAGTGTGAACCGGAGCCCCAGAGTAACGGCCTTCTCGAGGAGTTTGACGCAACATTTCATATGAAAGACAAAAGGAGATTACGAGAAAGATAACTTTCGTGTAACGATTACTGCTGTCGACGGATACCTAACAGGGATAAAATAAAAACGCGAAATTATTCTTGAGAGAGGTTTTAAAAGTTTACGGCAAGCTCTTGGGGCAAGAGCTCGACAACTCCGGTAACAAGAAAATGAAAGACAACTTTTGCAACTTTTTACAAACCAGCTCATAACTGGATCAGTAAGATATCTTTTCAGAATACAAATCCTGTCTTTGAGCGACTGAATTCTGTGATTCCAAAATAGCTATAATAAAGTGGCAATTGAAATTCGTTACGTGCAATTTTGATGAGATTGAAGGAAGAAAGTTGGGATTAAATTGATTGACAGAAAATTCGCGGGAGCACAAGAAAAAAAAAATGCTGGAGAAAGTGAAAGAATGAAAATACGCAACAAAGCAAAAAAAAAAAAGTATTGAAGAGTACAAAACTAGGCCCTGAAAATAAAAATCGCGACAGTTCGTAAGAAGTAAGCGGAAGATTACGAGCGTGACAGCCTTCGTGTACTGGTTACTGCAATTAAGCTCTACCTGACCGAGAAAGTAAGCAAACGTTCGATGTGTCGCAACAGAAAGTTTAGAAGTTCGAAGCAACTTCCTGGAGAAACACCCCGAACAAGCCGGTAGCAACGAGAAGACAAGTGACCGAGCAGCTGCTTAGTCTCTAGGGAACTCTTTGCCTTTAAGGACCATTACTCCATCAAGATGTTTGAACAAATTTAAACGGAACCTGGAAACCCATTTATTTAGGACAGCTTTTTGCCAACTTCAATGGTTCCCATTTTTTTTTTTATATTTCCAAGAGTTTTTGTTTTTAAGTTTCTAACTGTAGAGATGTATAAAATGTTTCTTATGTACAAAGTAGGTTAAAGATTTCTCTCTTTCATATTTTATAGCGCCTAGAGGCGTTCAATAACTGCTACATGAATTGTATAAATTATTAATCACCAAGCCATAACACAAAATAAACACGACTTTGAGGAAACAGAGTCAAATTTTGCATGTATATTAGTAGCAAGTAAATTAATGATTTTTCGTATAATTTATAAATTCTCGTAAATTTTTGTAAGACATTAAATGGCATTCACCCTATAGGCTACTGCAATTTGGCTAGCCTTTGAAACATTCACTCGTGTTGATTTATCCCAAATTGCACTCGAAATCATGTGATAAGCTAATCCATTTAAACATGTAAAGATTATGACAAGGAAACGGCATATAGAAAATGCAAGAGAGGAATATATCAAATTGCTTAACAGCAACAGATCACCAGACAAAAGACTTTAAATTCAAATCCAGAAAAAATCTTCTTATAGGGACTTGGGTAACAACCAGATAGAGGAGCTACTGCCAGGAGTCTTCAATAAAAACACCGAGTTGACTTACCTGTAAGTAACACATTCATAGGTCCATATTCGATACCATCGATTCATATTTATTGTAATTGATAGTAACTACCACTACGCGTTTTGATACATTTATAAGCAGCTAGCTTTTTAATTAGCTGCGTCAATCAGAGAATAGTAACCTGCAACAGTATATTGAGATAGAAACCTTTCCTTGCTAAGGTTATGCGTCAAACCTTAAAATGAGACAAAAAAATTAAATTAAACAAAAAAATATTTAACTCGTAAGACAGTGCTCTAGCTTAGAGAGGGCGAAGTCAACCATGAAAAGGAATTGTTTGTGGATGGACAGGGTTAACAAAAGTAAATATACTCATTAAAGAATTCTTTCAGTTTCATTGTTGGTGCTCCTCGTTCTGTAAATCCAATTTCTACCCCCCCCTCCCCCCCCTTCCTCTGATAAACGTGTTTTATTTTAATGCGCGTAGCTAGTATGCAACCTTTTGCAAATGTAGGGAAGAGTTCTTGGTTCTCGTAAGCCGGTTCCTTCTTAGACCAGTGCCTCAGTCAAAGAGAACGGGATTTAAATACCTCCCCATTTAATGGTAAGACAAAGTTTTCAACACGCATAGGTTTTTAGAAGGAAACAAGATCAAGAAGTTCCCTGACGATTTTTTGTCCCAATCAGTCAAGCTGCAGTGGCTGTAAGTGAAAGTGGTCCTCTATATCAACTATTGACAAGTGGCACAACACACATTTTAATGCAAATAATGCATATTCCATTTTCATCAAGCAGATCCTTGAACCCTAAATATCTGCGTAGCACATAAACCCATTGCAAACGCCCACAATCTTAAATCCTAGGAGAGACAAGAAGCCATCAGGTGCTCCAAAGGCCAAGCCAAATGTGTCATGCAGTAAAATTTAAACAAGGGTGGTATTGAAGTTGAATGAACTGAACTAGAACTACTTTCGAGTTTACTGAGTACTTGTTAATTCCTAAATTATAAGCTTTAGACAGGCATCGGTTCAAATAATTTTATTTGAACTGATTCAAATTAGAGTAATTGTAGCACTTTTTTTAACTCTTCTGCTCATACAGACAACTCAACAACAACAACCTGGAAAAGATACAGAAGGGTTTGTTTGACGGTTTAACAGCATTGACGCGCATGTGAGTTTAGGAAAGAAAACTTTCCATACAAAAAAAAAATAGTAGCTAAAAATTACTTTTTAAAACAAGCGGAACCTCTGCAATGAAGGTGGAGAATTATTTGTTTTTGAGTAAGGAGGAAAAGCATGAAAACGTATCGCTAATGATGGCCATACGCCACGGTGAAGGCTTCTTTCACAATGGCGGGCGTGATTGTAACTCATTTGAATTATGCAAATAAGCCATCCTGGCTCCACTTTTGATCAAAACTTCTATTGATAGTGA